ATTGGTCAGTTAATGCTAATATCATGTTTTCAACTACGTCCGAATTGTATTGACCTAGTTTCTGACCTGAACAAAAATACAATCCCGCCAAAAATCTGTCTATGTGTTTCGAGCCTATCACGTGACATACAACGTTATAAATACCAAGCGACATGTCCAACGCTTTCTCTATTTCCTCTGTTTTTCTCAGAACCACAACTCTGTAGTTCAGTGAGGAGTTTTACGTCTGTCCCTGTTGGGAAAACGCTATGACATGCGCACACACGCGTGCATACACGTACGTACGAACATTGAACATCTCTTAACTCATCAACTGCAAGCAAGAGAAATTTATTTACTTCAAAAACCTTCTGGGATATAAGTTACGATTCAACATATTCTCTGCTTTCCAGAATTCTCTCACTCATATTCAACTCTCTTCGGTGAACATTTTAATCGGCAAGTTAATTTAACTTTTCGATATTCAAGTGAAGACTACATTTTCTCTCAATCAACAAGTTTATTTGAACTCATCTTACGCCGAATTTCAGCCTACAAAACCTTATCGAATAACACTCTTTCCATTAAAACTTTTAATTATTTCATGAACTGAAATCTTTTTTGTGAGTCCAGGTAAAAAAAAATATCTTCCTTAAAGTCTTAACTAATTCAAATAGTTAAAGGTGAATAACTCCTGCTATTAATTATATATTATTTTATATAGTAAGAGTTTCTGTCTATAGTTCTGAGATGAAGTATTATGTACACTATTTACGTTGTTTGGACTATCGTCCTTATCTTTGTTACCATATTTATCACAACGTTTCGGCCGTTGTACGCTCCGGCCTTCTTCAGGTGGTTGGGATGTCGAATTGAACCATTTATTTCGCTCGCTGGGGTAGACTGTTCTAGTTCCACGTGTCATGTCTAATGGGTGTCAGTTATCAGTTATCAGTTATCACGTGTTAATTCCCTTCTCCAAGTTCTCCACTGCCTGAACTAGGTATTGAACTCACACTCTTTGGGTCCTGTCACTGTATCTAACTAACGTCTTTATCCACTGTGTCATGTGTCCTTGAGGCGTTAGTTCGATCCAGTGACAGGATCCAGTGTGAAGTTCAACGGCTGAAACTGAAAGGAATTCAATACAACTTGGAGATAGTCAACAATGTGTACATACACTCATCTCAGAAATATAGAAGATACTGAAGGATCGGATAAATGGCGACAAAGATGAGGACAATAGTCCGAATAATGTAAATAGTGTACATAATACCTCATCTCAGAATATAGAGAGATACTGAAGGATCGGATAAATCCAACGCAGATGAGGACGATAGTCCAACAATGTAAATAATGTACATAATACCTCATCTCAGAAATATAGACAGATACTGAAGGATCGGATAAATATGGCGACAAAGATGAGGACAATAAATAATGTAAAATAGTGTACATAATACTCATCTCAGAAATATAGACAGACACTGAAGGATCGGATAAATATGGCGACAAAGATGAGGACAATAGTCCGAATAATGTAAATAGTGTACATAATACCTCATCTCAGAAATATAAAGAGATACTGAAGGATCGGATAAATATGGCGACAAAGATGAGGACAATAGTCCGAATAATGTAAATAGTGTACATAATACCTCATCTCAGAAATATAAAGAGATACTGAAGGATCGGATAAATATGGCGACAAAGATGAGGACAATAGTCCGAATAATGTAAATAGTGTACATAATACCTCATCTCAGAAATATAAAAGATACTGAAGGATCGGATAAATATGGCGACAAAGATGAGGACAATAGTCCGAATAATGTAAATAGTGTACATAATACCTCATCTCAGAAATATAACAGACACTGAAGGATCGGATAAATATGGCGACAAAGATGAGGACAATAGTCCGAATAATGTAAATAGTGTACATAATACCTCATCTCTGAAATATAGACAGACACTGAAGGATCGGATAAATATGGCGACAAAGATGAGGACAATAGTCCGAATAATGTAAATAGTGTACATAATACCTCATCTCAGAAATATAAAGAGATACTGAAGGATCGGATAAATATGGCGACAAAGATGAGGACAATAGTCGAATAATGTAAATAGTGTACATAATACCTCATCTCAGAAATATAAAGAGATACTGAAGGATCGGATAAATATGGCGACAAAGATGAGGACAATAGTCGAATAATGTAAATAGTGTACATAATACCTCATCTCAGAAATATAAAGAGATACTGAAGGATCGGATAAATATGGCGACAAAGATGAGGACAATAGTCAGAATAATGTAAATAGTGTACATAATACCTCATCTCTGAAATATAGACAGATACTGAAGGATCGGATAAATATGGCGACAAAGATGAGGACAATAGTCCGAATAATGTAAATAGTGTACATAATATCTCATCTCAGAAATATAGACAGACACTGAAGGATCGGATAAATATGGCGACAAAGATGAGGACAATAGTCCGAATAATGTAAATTGTGTACATAATACCTCATCTCAGAAATATAGACAAATACTGAAGGATCGGATAAATATGGCGACAAAGATGAGGACAATACTCCGAATAATGTAAATAGTGTACATAATACCTCATCTCAGAAATATAGACAGAAACTCTTACTATGTAAAAATCACACACTTGATTGCTTTTATGTCATACAGTAACTTGAAGATTGTTATTATAAAAGCAGTTTTTGTGTTGTTTTCCTTGTTTGCTTTTCGATTGCTGACACATTTTAATGTAAAAAAATCTACGGATTGAATTGAGGCCATTCAATACCGCTACAGACTTTGTTATTACCGTAAATTGCGGCGTCCAATGCTTACAATTACTGTACACAACTTACTGTACTTCCAGCAGGTTGCCACAAATATATCCTTTTTAATATTTGGCATATTAACACAGAAATTAATATAAAATAATAAAATAGTAACACAAATTCAGTATCCTATTAATGCTACACCAGATATTGAGTCCAATATTTGATACATCTTTCCAAAGCTACGAGTCGGTTTACAACCTTTACCATTGAGTTGTAAATAAATGAGAAAGCACACCTAACAATTACTGTACACCACTTAGTGCACCTCCAGTGGCTGCACAAATACATCCCACTAAAAATTGCGTTTGCTGAACATATCTGGCATATTAACATAGAAATCAATATAAAATGATAAAATAGTAATACAGTTTGGTACAGATTATCGTATTCTGTAGCCTAATTACATTTACTGGTAGGCCTAAATTTTGGGCTACCGTGTAGCCTACCTTATGTTTGTGGGTCGACCTCTATGAGGGACAGAAGATGGCGATTGACGTTGCAATAGGCGTAAATTGCGGCGTGTTTTTAAGCCTAAAAAAACATCTTTCCAAGACTAGGAGTCGACATAAATGGCGGATTTAAAATGCAGACATTTACCACCGATGTGTAAACAAGTGGGACAGCATTCCTAATTATTGTAAACTACTAACCGTACCTTCAGCAGGCTACCACAAATATATCCCACTAAAACTTCTGTTTGGTGAGCATACTTGGCATATTAACACAGAAATCAATATAAAATAGTGTAACAGGTCCACGATTATGTAGCTCGCTACATGAGGTTTTGTTGGCATCACTGGTTGTTTATTTACTTCACTGATGCAAATGGCGGATAACTGAGACTGTGTTTTACAATAACATATAATACGTAGCAATACTATAAAAAAACTACCTGGTGTGATGTGTAATCTAGGGTATTAATATTTTATAGGAGTTGATATTGAATATAATGTGCTTATCAGTCGACCTGACGATATAATAAAGATACAATATACGATGCATAGCTGTAGTTGTAGCTTGTTTGCCATACAACGCATTTAGAAAGATATGGTTAATGTCTTAATATACAGGTAAGTGGCGTGACCTTATGCAATTTTGGCACAGGTTATCGTATACTGTAGCCTACCTTCATTTACCGGCAGGCCTTAGTTTTGGGTCGCTGGTAGCCTACCGTACATTTGGTGTGTGAACTATACGTTAAGTAGAGGCCTAACTTAGAATTTTGAGCTAAAAATCTTGAGAAGGAAATTAACAGGAGATAACTGATAACTGACATCCATTAGACATTGCACATGGAACAGTCTACCCCAGCGAGCGAAATAAAGGCTTCAATTCAACATTCCAACCACCTGAAGAAGGCCGGAGCGTACAACGACCGAAACGTTGTGATAAGTATGGCAACAAAGATGAGGATGATAGTCCGAGCAATGTAAATATATAGACAATACCTCATCTCAGAAATATAGACAGATAAACATATGATACGTAGCAATATTATAAAAAACTACCTGGTGTGATGTGTAATCTAGGGTATTAATACTTTATAGGAGCTGATATTGACTTTGATGTGCTTATCAGTAGACCTGATGATACAATGAAGATACAATATGCGATGCATACCGGCATGTGTTGTGGGTTGTTTACCATACAACGCATATAGAAAGATATGATGTTTAATATCTTAATATACAGGTTTCTACTGAAGAGGTGCCCAGCCCTGGGGAACAGCTGCCCGAGGCCGCGCCCTCCCATTGCACAAGAGGGAGGGATCGGTGCTCGCACCGAGGCCTGCGCAACCGACAGTTGCGGTGGCTGAGGGGGAATTTTTGACCCTGCCCAGGTGCACGCGCTCGGGTCCCCACATTAATCCGACCTTGTGTCACATCTCATTCTCATGGGGGAATGAGTAAACACCGTCTTAATATACAGGTAAGTGGTGTGATCTTACGTAATTTTGGCACAGGTTATCGTATACTGTAGTCTACCTTCAGTTACCGGTAGGCCTTATTCTTGGGCCGCTGGTAACCGATAGTACATCTGTGGGACGACCTATACGGTAGGTAGAGGCTTAGAGCTAAAAACCTTGAGATCGACTTATACACAAGGTTGCCTTGTACGCAGCAATTTACGGTAAACTTTTGAAGATCGTAAACTTACGGCCATATCACGTTGAAACATTGGTTCCCATACAATAACCGAAGTTAAGCAAGGTCGAGCCTGGTCAATACCGTGATGGGCGATCGCTTGGGAATGCCAGGTGCTGTAAGCTTGGATGTGCAGGTGGTGTAATGGTTAATGGCTCGGATTTCTTAAGCGGAGAGCCGAGTTTCAATTCCAGTCGAGTTCGTTATATCCATTTACGCGCAAATACCCTTGGGGAAAGTATGACGCCCCCTCCCCCTACAATTAGTAGAACTTGTATCAGTGAATTATTATTATCTCCAAAATATTCTTACAATCTAAAAAAACAAAACATTCTGGCTTTAAATAGCATGCATAAGGTTGATAAACCGTAAATAGGCAAATCAATCAATCAACTAAGACAATCCAAGACTTTGTCAGCAAAAAGCAGAAAATCAACAATGCATCAAGATCTGAGCTATATGATAGACATAAATGCCATAAGAATGACATAGGTGAAACACCGAGAAATCTAAAAAGCTGCATTGATGAACACAGAAGAAACCTCCTTGGGATAACACCTATGGGATAACATCTCTTTAGTAACATATAGAAATAAAACAGGGCATAACTTTGTTATAAAAATGATACCTTAGTGAGAAAAAATATGGAACCAACCCATTACACAGAAAATACCTATAGGGAATATTATTTATTGAATGATTGAATTGTACATTACGGTTTATCTACCGTTTTCATAATTATTTAAAGCCAAAAATATTTTTAGATTGTAAGAATTTTGAAGGAGAAGCTAGTGATTTACTGAAGCATGTACTACTATTCAACCCATAGTTTTGGGAAGGAGAAGATATTTATTCACACCTTTCTTAAGTTATATTTAGACAAGTGAATATAACGAAGCCGACTGGATTTAGAACTCGGCTCTCCGATCTCCAATTCCCAGTCGTTATGTATTACACCACCCGCACATCCTAGCTTACAGCAGCTAGTATTGCCACCCATTCAGATACTGACAAGACTCGACGTTGCTTAACTTTGGTAGGGAGAATGTTAATAAATAACTAATACAAAATAACTCATCCTTATTTACGCGATTTATATATAGACGACTATCCTTATTTTTGTTGTAGTCATCACGACGTTTCAGGCGTCGTTGAAGGCCGAAGGCTGCAACGGCCGAAACGTTTTGATAACAACAAGAAAAATGGGGACAATAGTCCTGATATAAATCGTGTAAATAATCATAACTACTCATTCCAGGAATCCAGACAGGAAATAAATCCTTACCAGACGCGATCTTATCACCTTATATTCGTAAAAACTGTATGTATTTATGAAGACAATATCCAGACATTGCCAGCGGATGTAACCCTTTACTTTACTGACATGTAAAGAAATAAAAGTAAAATAAATACACATAATACGTCTAAATTATTTATTCAAACCTGCTTGAATGAAAATATGCTACCTATATATATATATATATGAAAATTTCTCTGATTTAACGAGTAGAGAAGACAATATTTATGAATAAAAATGACAATAGGAAAACTGGTAATTGCTTTGCGTTTCGTCCAATGTGGACTTTATCAAAGCAAAATATTTTGCTTTGATAAATTCCATTGATTGTCATTTTTATTGTCATTTTTCTATATATATATATATATATATATATATAATTAATGTCGAGAAACTTGTTACTTAACTGAGTGGTGTTATTTCAGTCATGCCGACTTCGAAGTTTCGTGAGAGCATTGTAGTAATACCTTCACTCTTCGGGGCGATTGGCTTCTGTCTTTGGTACATAAAAACTCTTACAATTTAATACTACACACACACACACATATATATATATCTATCTTAGAATAATAGAAAACACACACACACACACATATATATATAGTAGAACAATTCATATAAAAAATTGGCGGATTATATAAATATATATATATGTGTGTGTGTGTGTGTATGTGTGCGTGTGTATTCTTTTTTTTCTTGTTGATCCCGTGTTACTTCAGAACATTGTTGATAATGGCTCTCCACAATTTCCTGTCCTTTGTGTCTCTTAGTAAATTTTGTCTTTTTTTACCTCTCCTCTGTTCTGCCATCTTTTTTTTTTTATATAAGACAAGCCTCTTAGTTTATGCACTGTTTTCCTTTAACTTCAATATGCCTTAAGTGTGTCAAAATTCCCAAACCTTCTTTCCTCATTATGTACAATTTTTTATGTGCATAATTATAATTATTATTATTATTTTAATTCTTACGTCTAAGATTTCACTGGAATTGTACAGAAAATGAATTTGTGCCTTTTGCCTCATCCTAAAATTCCTTTTATCCCCCGTTTCGTTTAATTTACTAACTTTCTGGTTGTCTTCATTCTTAAAATTTTTCATTTTTGATGGCTCCACTGGGACTCTTCAATAAAATACGGAACAAAAATAAAAATCCCCCAAACAGAGTTGTCGTTCTGTCGAAGAGATAAAGACATTGAGTAAATGACAAGTGTACTTAAAAATAAAATAAAGTTAAATTGAATAATAATATTAAAAAAAAGAAAAAAAACTTTAGCAATCCGACAGACACAAAGACACAACGGAAAGCAGGAGAAATGGCGTAAACATATCGTAAAAAAAAAAAAAAAAAATTGAAAGTAAATAAATAATAACGAGGAATGAAGTTAAAAGAAACAAACAAAAAATTCTGGAATAAATCGACAAAGCCTTAGGATGGCTGACGCCCAAGTTGTAACGATAGAATAGAAAATAGATCGTTGACTGGTGAAATCAAGCCACGATGGCGGTCGCCGCTAGAGGAGGAACACTTCACGTTGAAACATTGGAGTCAGCGATGTGTGTTGCTTACTCGTGGTGCCAAGTAGGGAATATAATACTATGAGAACGGTGAGTATAACGAAAGGAGAAAATAAGACGTCGTTATTGGATTCTGTGCGAGTGTTCGTAGAAAATATGCACCTCTTTGTTGATTTGTACGTGTATTCAGTGTTTTGTGTATATACGTGTGTGTGTGTATGTCTGTGTGTGTGTGCGCGTGCACGCGCATGCGCTCACCTTTTCTGTGTACTCTTTCTCTGGCCGACAGATTTTATTGGTTTATTAATTTTTCTGCGTGAAAAATATTTCTGTCTTCTAGTGAGCGCCATCTTTTTCTACTTTCTTTTTCACGACTACTTTTCGTGAGAAAAAACCGTCTTTCTTTCTTTCTTACATTTTCTTTCTTTCTTTCTTTCTTTCTTTCTTTCTTTCTTTCTTTCTTTCTTTCTTTCTTTTTCTTTCCATTTTCTTTCTTTCATTCATTATTCTTTCTTCTTTTAATTTTACTTCTTTTTTCTTTCTTTCTTTATTATACAGCGTAACCCGGATATAAAAGAGTTGTCGGGACCGGATAAAAAGTCTCTGATATCCGGGTTTCTCTTATATCCGGGTTTCTCTTATATCCGGGTTTGGTCTATTTTGTTTACATTAACACAGGCTCTAATTTGGGACCAGAGAAAATCTCTCTTATATCCGGGTTTCTCTTATATCCGGGTCTCTTATATCCGGGTTACACTGTAGTTTGCTTTATCCTTTCACTTTCTGTCGTTCTGCCTTTCTTTTTTCCATTTCCTTTCTTTTCCTTTTTATTTTTTCTATCTTTCTTTCTTTCTTTCTTTCTTTCTTTTATTTGCTTTTTCTTTCTTCCTTATTTCGTTTTTCTCGTTTACATTATCCTTTTCTTTCTTTCTATTTTCTCTTTTCTTTTGCAGTTTTCTTTCTTTCTTTCTTTGTAATTAAATTTCGTATCTTTCTCTTCATTGTCATTTTCTACCCGTTCTTTCTCACCTCCTCTTACTCCTTTATCTTCTTCACCGTATCATTCTTTCCTCTCGTTCTCTCACTTTCTAGATAAATTCTTTCATCTTTCTATTCAATGTTAATTCTTTTCATTCCTTCTATTCATCTCTTTCTAGCTTTTCTTTAATTGTTCTTTATTTTCTCGGTTTTCTATTTTTTCTTTTAATTTCTCTCTTTTCTTGTAGCTTTCTTTCTTTTCCTTCGCCACATCCTTTTATGTCTTTCTAACTTTTCTTTAATTATCTTTTATTTTCTCTGTTTTTCTATTTCTCATTTATCGTCTGTCTTTTCTTGTAGCTTTCTTTCTTTCTTTGTTCCCTTCTTTGTTTCCTTGTTTGTTTGTTTGTTTGTTTCTTTCTTTCTTTCTTTCTTTCTTTCGTTTTTCTAGTTTGCCTTATCCTTTAACTTTCTTTCATTCTGCGTTTCTCTCTCCTCTTTTTACATTTTTCCTTTTTAATTTGTCTTTAATTCTTCTTTCTTTCTTTCTTTCTTTCTTTCTTTCTTTCTTTCTTTCTTTCTTTCTTTCTTTTCGTTTTCCTTCTTTCTTTCTTTCCTTCTTTCTTTCTTTCTTTCTTTCTTTCCTTCTTTCTTTCTTTCTTTCTTTCTTTCATTCCTTCTTTCTTTCTTTCTGTTATTTCGTTTTCCTTTATTAATTATTTCGTTTTTCTCATTTACATTATCCTTATCGTTATTTCTTTCTTATTTCTATTTTCTCTTTTCCTTTTGCAGTTTTCTTTATTTTCCTTCGCCCTTTCCCTTCACTTCTTTCTTTTCTTTTACTGTTTATTTTCTCTGTTTTCTATTTTTCGTTTATCGTCTTTTATTTCCTTGTAGCTTTCTTTCTTTCTTTCTTTCTTTCTTTTTTTCTTTCTTTCTTTCTTTCTTTTTCTCCGCCCCTTCCATATGATTCTTTCTAACGTTCCTTTAATTATCTTTTCTTTTCTCTTTTTTTAATTTCTCGCATATCGTCTTTCTTTCCTTGTAGCTTTCTTTCTTTCTTTCTTTCCTATTGTTTCTTTCTAACTTTCCTTTAATTATCTTTTCTTTTCTCTTTTTTTAATTTCTCGCATATCGTCTTTCTTTCCTTGTAGCTTTCTTTCTTTCTTTCTTTCCTTTTGTTTCTTTCTAACTTTCCTTTAATTATCTTTTATTTTCTCTTTTTTCTATTTTTCGTTTATCGTCTTTCCTTTTTTTGTAGCTTTCTTTCTTTCTTTCTTTCTTTCTTTCTTTCTTTCTTTCTTTTTCTCCGACCCTTCCTTTTGTTTCTTTCTAACTTTCCTTTAATTATCTTTTCTTTTCTCTTTTTTTAATTTCTCGCATATCGTCTTTCTTTCCTTGTAGCTTTCTTTCTTTCTTTCTTTCCTATTGTTTCTTTCTAACTTTCCTTTAATTATCTTTTTCTTTTCTCTTTTTAATTTCTCGCATATCGTCTTTCTTTCCTTGTAGCTTTCTTTCTTTCTTTCTTTCCTTTTGTTTCTTTCTAACTTTCCTTTTATTATTATTTTTATTTTCTCTTTTCTATTTTTCGTTTATCGTCTTTCCTTTCTTTCTTTCTTTCTTTCTTTCTTTCTTTCTTTCTTTCTTTCTTTTTCTCCGACCCTTCCTTTTGTTTCTTTCTAACTTTCCTTTAATTATCTTTTCTTTTCTTTTTTAATTTCTCGCATATCGTCTTTCTTTCCTTGTAGCTTTCTTTCTTTCTTTCTTTCTTTCCTATTGTTTCTTTCTAACTTTCCTTTAATTATCTTTTCTTTTCTCTTTTTTTAATTTCTCGCATATCGTCTTTTCTTTCCTTGTAGCTTTCTTTCTTTCTTTCTTTCCTTTTTGTTTCTTTTTCTAACTTTTCTTTAATTATCTTTTTATTTTCTCTTTTTTTTCTATTTTTCGTTTATCGTCTTTCCTTTTTTTGTAGCTTTCTTTCTTTCTTTCTTTCTTTCTTTCTTTCTTTCTTTCTTTTTCTCCGACCCTTCCTTTTGTTTCTTTCTAACTTTCCTTTAATTATCTTTTCTTTTCTCTTTTTTTAATTTCTCGCATATCGTCTTTCTTTCCTTGTAGCTTTCTTTCTTTCTTTCTTTCCTATTGTTTCTTTCTAACTTTCCTTTAATTATCTTTTCTTTTCTCTTTTTTTAATTTCTCGCATATCGTCTTTCTTTCCTTGTAGCTTTCTTTCTTTCTTTCTTTCCTATTGTTTCTTTCTAACTTTCCTTTAATTATCTTTTATTTTCTCTTTTTCTATTTTCGTTTATCGTCTTTCCTTTCTTTCTTTCTTTCTTTCTTTCTTTCTTTCTTTCTTTCTTTCTTCTTTCTTTCTTTCTTTCCTATTGTTTCTTTCTTTCTTTCTTTCTTTTTCTCCGACCCTTCCATTTGTTTCTTTCTAACTTTCCTTTAATTATCTTTTATTTTCTCTTTTTTCTATTTTTCGTTTATCGTCTTTCCTTTCTTTCTTTCTTTCTTTTTTTTTTCTTTCTTTCTTTCTTTCTTTCTTTCTTTTTCTCCGCCCCTTCCTTTTGTTTCTTTCTAACTTTCCTTTAATTATCTTTTCTATTCTCTTTTTTTAATTTCACGCATATCGTCTTTCTTTCCTTGTAGCTTTCTTTCTTTCTTTCTTTCCTATTGCTTCTTTCTAACTTTCCTTTAATTATCTTTTATTTTCTCTTTTTTCTATTTTTCGTTTATCGTTTTTCCTTTTTTTGTAGCTTTCTTTCTTTCTTTCTTTCTTTCTTTCTTTCTTTTTCTCCGACCCTTCCATTTGTTTCTTTCTAACTTTTCTTTAATTATCTTTTCTTTTCTCTTTTTTCTATTTTCGTTTATCGTCTTTCCTTTTTTTGTAGCTTTCTTTCTTTCTTTCTTTGTTTCTTTCTTTCTTTCTTTTTCTCCGACCCTTCCATTTGTTTCTTTCTAACTTTCCTTTAATTATCTTTTCTTTTCTCTTTTTTCTATTTTCGTTTATCGTCTTTCCTTTCTTTCTTTCTTTCTTTCTTTCTTTCTTTCTTTCTTTCTTTCTTTCTTTCTTTCTTATTGTTTCTTTCTTTCTTTCTTTCTTTCTTTTTCTCCGACCCTTCCATTTGTTTCTTTCTAACTTTCCTTTAATTATCTTTTATTTTCTCTTTTTTCTATTTTTCGTTTATCGTCTTTCCTTTCTTTCTTTCTTTCTTTCTTTCTTTCTTTCTTTCTTTCTTTCTTTCTCTCCGCCCCTTCCTTTTATTTCTTTCTAACTTTCCTTTAATTATCTTTTCTTTTCTCTTTTTTTAATTTCTCGCATATCGTCTTTCTTTCCTTGTAGCTTTCGTTCTTTCTTTCTTTCCTATTGTTTCTTTCTAACTTTCCTTTAATTATCTTTTATTTTCTCTTTCTTCTATTTTCGTTTATCGTCTTTCCTTTCTTTCTTTCTTTCTTTCTTTCTTTCTTTCTTTCTTTCTTTCTTTCTTATGGTTTCTTTCTTTCTTTCTTTCTTTCTTTTTCTCCGACCCTTCCATTTGTTTCTTGCTAACTTTCCTTTAATTATCTTTTATTTTCTCTTTTTTTTATTTTTCGTTTATCGTCTTTCCTTTCTTTCTTCCTTTCTTTCTTTCTTTCTTTCTTTCTTTCTTTCTTTCTTTTTCTCCGACCCTTCCATTTGTTTCTTTCTAACTTTCCTTTAATTATCTTTTCTTTTCTCTTTTTTTAATTTCTCGCATATCGTCTTTCTTGCCTTGTAGCTTTCTTTCTTTCTTTCTTTCCTATTGTTTCTTTCTAACTTTCTTTAATTATCTTTTATTTTCTCTTTTTTTAATTTCTCGCATATCGTATTTCTTTCCTTGTAGCTTTCTTTCTTTCTTTCTTTCTTTCTTTCTTTCTTTTCTTTCTTTCTTTTTCTCCGATCCTTCCATTTGTTTCTTTCTAACTTTCCTTTAATTATCTTTTCTTTTCTCTTTTTTTAATTTCTCGCATATCGTCTTTCTTTCCTTGTAGCTTTCTTTCTTTCTTTCTTTCTTTCCTATTGTTTCTTTCTAACTTTCCTTTAATAATCCTTTATTTTCTCATTTTTCTTTTTCTCGTTTTTCGTCTTTCATTTTTTTGTAGCTTTCTTTCTTTCTTTCTTTCTTTTTCTCCGCCCCTTCCTTTTGTTTCTTTGTAACTTTCCTTTAATTATCTTTTCTTTTCTCTTTTTTTAATTTCTCGCATATCGTCTTTCTTTCCTTGTAGCTTTTTTTCTTTCTTTCTTTCCTATTGTTTCTTTCTAACTTTCCTTTAATTATCCTTTATTTTCTCATTTTTCTATTTTTCGTTTATCGTCTTTCCTTTTTTTGTAGCTTTCTTTCTTTCTTTCTTTCTTTCTTTCTTTCTTTCTTTCTTTTTCTCCGACCCTTCCATTCTTTTCTTTCTAACTTGCCTTTAATTATCTTTTCTTTACTCTTTTTTTAATTTCTCGCATATCGTCTTTCTTTCCTTGTAGCTTTCTTTCTTTCTTTCTTTCTTTCTTTCTTTCTTTCTTTTTCTCCGACCCTTCCTTTTGTTTCTTTGTAACTTTCCTTTAATTATCTTTTCTTTTCTCTTTTTTTAATTTCTCGCATATCGTCTTTCTTTCCTTGTAGCTTTCTTTCTTTCTTTCTTTCCTATTGTTTCTTTCTAACTTTCCTTTAATTATCCTTTATTTTCTCATTTTTCTATTTTTCGTTTATCGTCTTTCCTTTTTTTGTAGCTTTCTTTCTTTCTTTCTTTCTTTCTTTCTTTTTCTCCGCCCCTTCCTTTCTTTTCTTTCTAACTTGCCTTTAATTATCTTTTCTTTACTCTTTTTTTAATTTCTCGCATATCGTCTTTCTTTCCTTGTAGCTTTCTTTCTTTCTTTCTTTCTTTCTTTCTTTCTTTCTTTTTCTCCGACCCTTCCTTTTGTTTCTTTCTAACTTTCCTTTAATTATCTTTTCTTTTCTCTTTTTTTATTTCTCGTTTATCGTCTTTCTTTCCTTGTAGTTTTCTTTCTTTCTTTCTTTCTTTCTTTCTTTCTTTCTTTCTTTCTTTCTTTCTTTCTTTTTCTCCGCCCCTTCCATTTGTTTCTTTCTAACTTTCCTTTAATTATATTTTCTTTTCTCTTTTTTTTATTTCTCGTTTATCGTCTTTCTTTCCTTGTAGTTTTCTTTCTTTCTTTCTTTCTTTCTTTCTTTCTTTCTTTCTTTCTTTCTTTCTTTTCTCCGCCCCTTCCGTTTGTTTGTTTCTAACTTTCCTTTAATTATCTTTTTTTTTCTCTTTTTTTTATTTCTCGTTTATCGTCTTTCTTTCCTTGTAGTTTTCTTTCTTTCTTTCTTTCTTTCTTTCTTTCTTTCTTTTTCTCCGACCCTTCCTTTTGTTTCTTTTTAACTTTCCTTTAATTATCTTTTATTTTCTCTTTTTTCTATTTTTCGTTTATCTTCTTTCCTTTTTTTGTAGCTTTCTTTCTTTCTTTCTTTCTTTCTTTCTTTCTTTCTTTCTTTCTTTCTTTTTCTCCGACCCATCCTTTTGTTTCTTTCTAACTTTCCTTTAATTATCTTTTCTTTTCTCTTTTTTTAATTTCTCGTTTATCGTTTTTCTTTCCTTGTAGCTTTCTTTCTTTCTTTCTTTCTTTCTTTCTTTCTTTCTTTCTTTCTTTTCCTCTGTCAGACAGCTCAATTTCTTTAACCGTCACTTTAATCCATCAGCCAATCTGTTCTGTAGGACATATACCAACACGAACAGAAAGATCCGGAAGTTTGCAATGATCGAAGAATTCTGATGACAATGCCAATGATGGCATGAGTCCATGAAGAACCAATGTAAAATAATAATAGTTCCTCAATTCCAGAATTCGAACAAAATCGAAAATGAAGAAAATTGATCAAAGACAATCCTTAACATTTCAACCATGATAAAATGTATCTTGCTTGTGGGGAACTATTTAAAAAATTTTCAATGGACCTTACAAAATCCCTGCAATATGGCTTCAGAAATGTGTCCCTGAACTGGCTCCTGTTCTCTCTAAACTTTACGATAAATGACTGACTGCTTTCCTGCCTGTTGTAAATTCTCTTCGGTAGTTCCAGTCTTTAAGAACTCAGGGGAACCGTATGAGCTTTCTAACTATCGGCCTTCTATCTCTTTTTGGTAAAGTTCTAGAGACTCTAATCAACTGTGAATTGGTTAGGCATCTCACACCGCAGGGTCTTCTTTCAGATAAACAATATGGCTTTCGCATCTCTAGATCAACTGCTGATGTATTAACGATTATTGCTGAAAGAGTCCATGAAGCTTTAGATAAGAACGGCGAAGCTCGGGCAGTTGCTTTACATATCTCGAAGGCAGTTGACCGGATTTGATACGCTGGTCTTCCTCTCAAGTTGAAAGGTTATGAAATTTCTGGACGAATTTTTGAACTGATTCAATCTTTATTTTCAAATCGCGAAATGAAAGCTGTCTTGAACGGCGACTTTTCTAGATCTCTTTCAATTAATGCAAATGTCCCCCACGGCTCCATACTTGCATCTCCATTGTTCTTAATTAATCAACAACCATTCTGACGTCATCAGTTCTCAACTAGGTATCTATGCTGGTGATAAAACTCTTGATAATAAGTCTGGTTGGTTTGATAAGGTCAAATAGGTGGATGATCGCAAAAAAATTATCTCGAATGTTGTTAACTGGGGCAAGGAATGGCTTGCTAATTTTAACGCCTACAAAACGAAACTGTTCTCTCTTAATCGTCTGAGAGACACTTTTCCGCCTTCCATCAGCATGGCTGATGCTAACCTCCAGAAGAGCAACTCGTTGCGTCTTTTCGGGCTAACGTTTTCCACTTTGCTTGTTGAAATCCTCTTCCGTTGTTTCATTCTTTAAGAACTCATGCTGATCCTTCTAACACTATTTGGTAAAGTACTAGATGCTTTAATCAATCTTTACCTCTCAGGGTCTTCTTTCAGATAAACAATATGACTTTCGCGTCTCTAGATCAACTGCTGATGTATTAACAATTATTCTTGAAAGTGTCTATCAATCTTTCACATAAGAATTAATGAAGCTCGGGCTGTTGCTTTGAACATCTCGAAGGCATTTGATAAGGTTTGTCATACCGGTTTTCTCCACAAGTTTCTGGACAAATTTTTGAACTGATTAAATCTTTCGTATCAAATCGCGAAATGAAAGTTGTTTTGAACGGCAACTCTTCTGGATATTTTTCCATCAATGCAGGTGTCCTCGACCCCCCTCAGGGCCTCTAGCCTTGGACTGACGTCGTTCAATATTTTCATAAATGATCTTCCTGATATCATCAGTTCTAAACTCGGTATCTACTCGGATCATTTATTCCTGTCTTAATTGTAAATACGATCGGTTAGATAAGCTCAAATTGGCAGCAGATCTCAAAAGTGATCTAAAATCTGTTGTTAACTGGGCAAGTAATGGCTTGATAATTTTTAACGCCCCCAAAAGAAAACTGCCATCTGTTAGTGATCTGAGAGTCCAATTTCTAACGCTAACCTCCAGGAGCATGATTCGTTGCGCTTTGTCGGGCTAATGTTATCTGCTGACATGAAGATGAAAGATTATATGGAATCCATTACTAGCTCTACTGCTAGGAAAATTGGTTCTCTGTGTTGTGCTAGACAATTTTTCTTTACAGAATCCATCTTACATATTTATAAGTCTACCATTCGTCCATGCTTTGAATATTGCTGTCACATATGGTCTTGTGCCGCTGCTATATATTTAGAGATTCTTGATAAAAGCCAAAGAAGAATCAGCAATATTATTGTTCCTGATCTGGCATTTGGGCTTCAGTCATTTTCCCATCGCCGTAATGTAATTTCACTCTGCCTTTTCTATAAATACATCCACGGTAGTTGTTCTGATAATCTTTCCTCTGTGGTAACTAGACTTTATGAATTTCAGCGCAGTACTAGATTGGCGGCAAGGTCTCATTATTTAGCAATAGAAATGGCTAGATGTAACCTGACTTGCTGACAGTTTATTTTCTCGCACTTCTCGACCGTGAAACTCATTCAGTTATCAATCATTATCTACTGTCTGCTTGGTTTTTCTTCTTTTATTGTTCTTGTTCCATAATAATGTTTCCCTTTTTCTTATCCTTTCACTTTACTTGTGTCTTAGTTGCTTTATTGTTCTGCGTGGGTTGTTTGGTTGGTTGTTTTGTTTTATGGCATATCAAAACCTCAATGGGTCATTTAATGCCAACAAAATTTTTGAAATAGATTCATAGCGATAGTTTGGTAAAAAAAAGGGTGTGTATGTATACATATATATTTGAACCATTTTTCAATTACTCATATTTTTGAAGAGGATAAATGAAAAATCCCAGGTTGTAAGTTCACATTTTAGCAAAAAACGATAACTGCACTTTCATCTATATTGTTTTATCTCATAACAAGTGCTTTAAGTATTGCTGATAATAATTTTTTCTTAAAAATTATTGCTGGTAATAATTTTTCCTTCAAAAATTATGGCTGGTAATAATTTTTTTTATTACAAAGTATTTCTGGTATTAAAACCTATTTTTACACAAGTATGGGTGTTAATTATTTGCCCATAGCTGGGACCCTAACAGGTGCTATCAACCTGGGTCATGGTGCACCTGGCAACACCAGTAATTAAGAGGTGGTTCCATGCTTCTCAAAACCTCCTGATCAGAGGCCTTGCTGCTGGATGTAGTTTATCGTCTTACCCAGGACGGGGATGTAGTTTATCACCATAATTAAGACGCAGATGTAGTTTAACGTCTTACCCAGGACGCGGATGTAGTTTATCGTCTTACCCAGGACGCGGATGTAGCTTATCGTCTTACCCAGGACACGGATGTGGTTTATCGTTATACCCAGGACGGGGATGTTGTTTATCACCATACCCAGGACGCGGATGTAGTTTATCGTCTTACTCAGGACGCGGATGTAGTTTATCGTCTTACCCAGGACACGGATGTGGTTTATCGTTATACACAGGACGGGGATGTTGTTTATCACCATATCTAGGACGCGGATGTCGTTTATCGTCTTACACAGGACACGGATGTAGTTTATCGTCTTACCCAGGACGCGGATGTAGCTTATCGTCTTACCCAGGACGGGGATGTTGTTTATCACCATACCTAGGATGCGGAAGTAGTTTATCGTCTTACCCAGGATGCGGATGTAGTGTATCGTCTTACCCAGGACGCGGATGTAGCTTATCGTTATACCCAGGACGGGGATGTTGTTTATCACCATACCCAGGACGCGGATGTAGTTTATCGTCTTACTCAGGACGCGGATGTAGTTTATCGTCTTACCCAGGACGCGGATGTAGCTTATCGTCATACCCAGACGCGGATGTAGTTTATCGTCTTACCCGGGACGCGGATGTAGTTTAGCGTCTTACCCAGGACATGTCCTGCTTGGGGTGAAATGATTAAAAAACAATCTAAACAATGTAAATAGTGTAAATAAATATTTTCATGGTAATTTTTCCGATGAGCTTTCTCCTATGGTACCTAGACTTTATGAATTTAAGTTCAGTACTGCATTGGCGACAAGGTCTCATCATTTTACAGTTGAATTGGTTATATATAACCGTAAGTTCTATGTTACAAGTTTCTTCTATCACAGTTCTTGCTTTCCATCCAACTTTGATCTTCAAAAATTTAAATGCAATGTCAATCTTTATGTAATGTCTTCTTGATTCCTCTTCTTTTATTGTTCTTGTTTTTTAATAATATTTTTTTTCTTTTTCTTATTCTTTTACACTCAGTAACCCTATATGTCTTAGTGGCTTTACGATTTAAAAATAAGACACACACACACACACACACACACACACACACACACACACACACACACACACACAGAGAGAGAGAGAGAGAGAGAGAGATTATTGCGAGGTTTTTTAAATAAGATAGAGACAGCTGAAGAAAAGCAGAGGAAGAATAGGAAGGGAAAAAAACAAATGAAAATTTAAAGAATGGAAGAAAGACACGATTAGAAACAAAGAAAGAAAGAAAGAAAGAAAAAAGAGACGGAAAGGGAAAAGAAAAGAGAAAGAATAGAAAGAAGAGAAAAAGAGAAAGAAAAATGATGAAAAGATGAAAAAGGAGAGAAAGGAGAAAATAAAGAGTAAAAATGAGGGAAGAACGACAGAAAAGAAAGAAAGAAAGAAAGAAAGGAAGGAAGAAAGAAAGAAAGAAAGAAAGAAAGAAAGAAAGGAAGAAAGAAAGAAAGGAAGAAAGAAAAGGTAAGCTACAATTAAAAGAGAGGCGATAAACGAGAAATAGGAAAACAAACAACAATAAAAAACAACAATTTATAAAAATAAACAACAATTAAAAAAAGCTAGAAAGTGATAAAAAGAAAGGCGAAGGAAAAGAAAGAATGGAAGAATGAAATAAAGAAAAAAAAAAAGAAACGGAAAGGAAAAGAAAAGAGAAAGAAGAGAATGAAGAGAAAAAGAGAAAGAAAAATGATGAAAAGATGAAAAGGACAGAAATGAGAGATTGACGAGTAAAAATGCGGGAAGAACGCCAAGAAAAGAAAAGAAAGAAAGGAAGGAAGGAAGGAAGAAAGAAAGAAAGAAAGAAAGAAAGAAAGAAAGAAAGAAAGGAAGGAAGGAAGGAAGGAAGGAAGGAAGATAGCTACAGGAAAAGAAAGACGATAAACGAGAAATAGAAAAACAGAAAATAAACAACTATTGAAGGAAAGCTTGAAAGAGATGAAGAGAAGGGTCGAAGAAAGAAAGAAAGAAAGAAAGAAAGAAAACTCAATAAAAGAAATCATGTACAGAAGAAAGAAAGAAAGAAAGAAAGAAAGAAAGAAAGAAAGAAACTACAAGAAAAGAGAGACGATAAACGAAAAATAGGGAAAAAGAGAAAATAAGCAACAATTAAAGAAAGCTAGAAAGAGATAAAGGGGAGGTGTGAAGGAAAAGAAAGAAAGAAAGAAAGAAAGAAAGAAAGAAAGAAAGAAAAGGAAAGGTACAAGAAAAGTGGGAAGTTAAAAGAGAAATAGAAAAACAGAAAATAAACAACAATTTAAGAAAAACTACAAAGAGATGAAGGGAAAAGGCTAAAGAAAAGAAAGAAAGAAAGAAAGAAAGAAAGAAAGAAAACTGGCAATAGAATAAAGAAACAAACAACGAAAATAAAAGAAAGCCGAAGAAAGAAAGAAAATAGAAAGAAGAAAGAAAGAATGAACAAAAACGGGCAAAGAAAGAAATAAAAAGCAAAGAAAGAAAGAAAGAAAGAAAGAAAGGAAAATTAATAAAAAGATGGGGTAAATGACAGAAACGAAAGACTGAAGAGTAAAAATGCGGAAAGAACGTTAAGAAAAAACAAAAGAAAGAAAGAAAGAAAGAAAGAAAGAAAGAAAGAATAATGAAAAGATGTGGGAAATGACAGAAAGGAAAGAATGAAGAGTAAAAATACGGAAAGAACAGTAAGAAAAAAATAAAAGAAGGAAAGAAAGAAAGTAGGAGCGAAAGAAAGGAAGAAAGAAAGAAGGAAAGAAAGAAAGTAGGAGCGAAAGAAAGGAAGAAAGAAAGAAGGAAAGAAAGAAAGTAGGAGCGAAAGAAGGAAAGAAAGAAAGTAGGAACGAAAGAAAGTAAGAAAGAAAGAAGAAAAGAAAGAAAGAAAGAAAGAAAGAAGGAACGAAAGAAAGTAAGAAAGAAAGAAGGAAAGAAAGAAAGTAAGAAAGAAAGAAGGAAAGAAAGAAAGAAAAAAAGAAAGAAAGAGTGAAAGAGAAGTGAAAATGTAAAAAGAATCCAAAAAAGAAGTACAAATGAAAGACCTTTTTTCCTTTTGCCAAAAAAACTTTATCGCCCATCGTCTCTGGGCCTCACCCTTGAGATTGGTGAACTGCTATGTAATTCTAATGTTTTTATTCTTCCTATTTTTATTTCTTTGTCTTTTATTTTCGCTTTCATTCGCGTCTGAAATCCTCAGCTTTTACGAGTAAGTAAATGTACTGGGCGACACACAATTGACATTTTTTTCATTTTTCCCGGTACTCACTAATTGAGAAACACGATATTTTTCCGATTGACTCCATGTAAGTCTTCACAAATGAGTTCCATAGAAGCAAGATTGAATATTTATTATTTATTTGTTTTCTTTTAATTTCAATCGCGAATGACGCTTACAAAAACAAATGAATAAATAAAAAGAAAAAAGGAAAAAAAACAAACAATATTTCGTGCATCAATATAAAATTCTTCAAATATTTAAGCGAGATATTTTTGCTTTGTGGGTATTGAGGATTTTTGTCGACAAAACAAATGTATTTTTGTCTGAATTTCTGGGATGAGGAGTTATCATTATTTAAATTACATATTCGGACTATTGACGAAACCCGGTTTGGTTTGGTTTGGTTTGGTTTAGTTTGGTTTGGTTTGGTTTGGTTTGGTTTAGTTTGGTTTGGTTTAGTTTGGTTTGGTTTGGTTTGTTTTGTTTTACGTCATATCAACTTCAATGGATTATTTAATGCCGACCAAATTTTTATTGCTGGTAATATTTTTTCAAAATATATTGCTGGTAATATATATATATATATATATATATATATATATATATATATATATACATATATATATATATATATTTTCCAAAAATGTATTGCTGGTAATATTTTTTTCAAAATGTATTTCTTGTAATATATATATATATATATATATATATATATATATATATATATACAGTGTAACCCGGATATAAGAGACCTGATATAAGAGAAACTCGGATATAAGAGAGATTTTCTCTGGTCCCAAATTAGAGCCTGTGTTACCTAAACAAAATAGACCAATCCCGGATATAAGAGAAACCCGGATATAAGAGAAACCCGGATATAAGAGACTTCTTCTCTGGTCCCGACAACACCCTTTATATCCGGGTGACACTGTATATATATTCAAAATGTATTTCTGGCAATATTTTTTTTTCCAAAATGTACTGCTGTTATTGCTGGTATTAATTTTTAAAACGGGGTCAGGTAGCTGTTTCCTCGTCTGAGGATCCCTCTCTGCTTGGAGTCAAAGAGTTCGACCAGCACAGCTGAAAAATATTCCAGTTAGACGGTATGTAGCAACTGCCCCACGTAGTCACGTGTGGCACAAGGCCGAATTTAATGTGGGGCTCAAGAGCCCGTAGCCTCGGCCAAAAAATCCCCGTAGACTCCGCATAAACGGCATCGGGTCTGTCTTCCTCCCCGAACGAGACTGTCCGAAGGTATAGCCTCGTCCGGGTTCCTCTCTGCCCGAAGGCAATGTGTTCGACAGTACAGCCGAAAAAGATTCCAGCTAGAGTATCTATCAACTATCTCACGCAGTCAGATGTGGCACCAGGCCGAATTTAATGTGGTGTTCCCGAGCCTGTAAGCTGGGCCAAAAAAAAATCCCTGTAGACCCCGCATAAACGGGATCGAGTCGGTCTACTTTCCCGACCGAGACTCTGTGCCCTTCAACATAGTCTCGCCCGGGTTCCTCTCTGCCCGAAGGCAGAGAGTTCGACCAGCACAGCTGAAATCTCTTTCAGCTAGACGGTATCTAGCAACTGCCCCACGCAGTTACATGTGGTACAAGGTCGTAGGCTCGGCAAAAAAATCCCTGTACACCCCGCATAAACGCTATCAGACCTGGATATTGAATTCATAGCTGCCAGGTACCAAAGATGTCTTTTAACCAACGTTGAAATGTGCTGGGCTTATGGTTTTTAAGCATTACTCCTTGAGCCGCCAATTATGTTAAAATTGTATGGGTAAACGGAACAGAATATCTGCAACTGTATTAATGTTACATGTTTACTCTTTGTTAGCACAATGTTTCTCAACTTTTTTCAGCAACGGCACACCTAGGAGCAAAAGAAAATATCACGGCAGACTTAGCCAAATTTTTAAAGGGTTTAATGTTAAGAAAATAAAACTATAAATCAAAAATAAAAAAAAAACCCAAAAAATCACACACACACACAGACACATAACTATGAACTTAGTCTATTTCAACGTTTCTATTCAACTATTTGTGCAGCTTATTTAGTGTGAAACCTGGGCCTGTTGTTTTAACGCGATTTCTTCAATGTTTGGTCGAAAGTGCGATAAGCAGGCCCTCATTGCTTCTTCAGTTAAGCGTAGTCTTTCTCACTTCTTATTTTTGATGTTATTTAGGGTTGAGAAGCCAAATTCACATACGTCCTGGGTATGATGATAAACTACATCCAAGAGTAAGGCCTCTGATCAGCAGGTTTTGAGGAAGGTGGAACCATCTTTTAATTGCTGGTGTTCCCAGGTCCACCCTGACCCGGGGTGCTAGCTTCTGTTAGGATCCCAGCTATGGGCAAATAGTTAACCCCCAAACTGAAGTCAAAGTACTATGAAAATGTAAATATAGGTTTTAATAACAGCAATACATTTTTGCAAAAATATTACCAGCAATGAATTTTTGAGGAAAAAAATTTCCACCGATACATTGTTGAAGGAAAAAATATTACCAGCAATGAATTTTTGAAGGAAAAATATTACCAGGAATACATTTTTGAAAAAAATATATTAGAAGCAATTCATTTTTGGCAATAAACATTAGTAGCAATACATTTTTGGAAAAAAATATTACTAGCAATAAAAAAATTTATCGGGCATTAAATAACCCATTGAGGTGTTGATATGCCGTAAAACAAAACAAACCAAACCTGATCTACAAATTGATTTCTTACAAAGAATACATATTTTATTCATACGAACCTATCCTAAAAATCTTGTCGGCATTAAATAACCCACTGAGGTGTTGATATGCCGTAAAACAAAATAAACCAAACCTGATTTACAAACTGTTTTCTTACAAAGAATACATATTTTATTCATACAAACCTATACTAAAAATCTCGTCGGCATTAAACAACCTATTGAGGTTGATATACCGTAAAACAAAATAAACCAAACCTAATTCACATAAATAAGAAGTAGAAAATTGTAATAAAACTAATAAAGCCTTTTTAGCTAATGTGGGTTAAAAAGTCTAACACTTATTTATTTCTTGAAATGCTAACGTTGTACCATTACTACTTACACACACACACACGCACACACACACACACACACACACACACACACACACACACATATATATATATATATATATTATAAATTAACTGATTTAAAATATGGTTTCTTCGCTACACAGTAATACCCATGTTTCAAAAACCGAAGCTAAAACTTCAAATTTAATTATATAATTAAATTAAAAGCATTAGTTCCGTTTTATCTTCAAGCGAATTTTGGAATAACTTATTTTTAAATTTATTGAGTTTTAAATCCAATCATTTAGACACGGGCGATAGTGTGTTCATTTTTATTAACTATTGTTGGATCAATTATGATTGGATCTCTCTGTATCCTTGGAAACAAGAAATTATGAATTATATGTGCGTTTAAAACCCAGTAAATTTAAAAATAAGTTATTCCAAAATTCGCTTGAAGATGAAACAGAAGTAATGCTTTTAATTTAATTATATAATTAAATTTGAAGCTTTTAGCTTCGGTTTTTGAAACATGGTTATTACTGTGTAGCGAAGAAACCATATTTTAAATCAGTTAATTTATAATATTTATACTCTGTAAATTTACGTTGAGCACTGTTTTGTATAAAAATAAAAAAATAGCAATAAGAACACCGGATTATATATCTTACTGTTCTTTCTTTTTTTATTATAATATATATATATATATATATATATATATATATATATATATATATATATATATACCGTGACAATATTTCGCGGCAAGCTTAAGAGGATCGTGCGGTACGCTTAAGAGGACCGCGCGGCACTGTAGTGAGCTGCGACACTGCAGTTGACAATCCCATCAGCGGAAATAAGTTTGTGGCGGGAAAAAGCCGAGCGGTAATCAAGGAACCAGAAGAGACGCGGGAAAGACTGACTTATCTCTTTCGAAGGGCATTTCTGCGAAAGTGCGTGTTAGAAACTCTCTCTGAATTTGAACTCGGATCTCCGACACCATTTTCGGCCCTGTATTGCGTCGCGCGTGGTGAGAATGCTGGCCCAATTAATAAGATATCTTAAATTCCTGAGCAGCGCTTACAGCGACATCATGTTGAAACATCGGTGTCCATACGATCTCTGAAGTTAAGCAACGTCGAGTTTGGTCAGTACCTACACTGGTGATTGCTTGGGGATGCTATGTGCTGTAATCTTGGATGTGCAGGTGGTGTAATCGATAATGCCTCGGAATTGTTATTCGTTACGTGAAAATATCCTTGGAAAAAGGTATGGATTCATATTTTCTCCCCTAGCTATAGGTTAATTAGTAAGAAACGTTTTACTAAACCATTATTATCTCAAAAAATTCTTACAATCTTATAAATATTTTCTGGCTTTAAATAACCTGCAAAGGGTTGATAAACCGTAGAAAACGAATCAATCAATCGATCAAATGCTGATTAGCTACGCAAACATGTCTTTTGGATTTATTTACATTCTTTAGAATATTAATGTATAGAAACTACCGTTATCATAAAGTGAGGGATCGGTAGATATATTGATTGTAATATAGAATTGCTACCCCACTTTATATCCACATTATAATTTCTTGTTTGTTTATCAAGTTCTGATTAGATATGAATTCTCCACTTCTCCCCCCAGCTATGGGTTAATTAGTAAGACTAAACCATTATTATCTCAAAAGATTCTTGCAATCTATAAATATTTTCTGACTTTAAATAACCTGCAAAGGGGTGATAAGCCGTTAAAAACGAATCAATCAAATCAAATCCTGAATAGACGAGAATATACTACCAAATAGCATTGATTAAATTTAACTTAGTCTGACACAGGGCCTGAAACATCGGGAACTCAGTTCAGATATAAATGGCTACAACTGTGATAATCGGCGAAATATTTCTGACAACCATTGTTTCACTTGGAGTCGATAAGTCTCTCTCTCTTTCTCTCTTTCTCTCTTTCTCTCTCTCTCTCTCTCTCTCTCTCTCTATATATATATATATATATATATATATATATATAAAAGTGAACATGGAAATCAACACTTAGATGCGACAGTCTGTTTCATGCTAGATGCAATCGTCAGGCCACGAGTGCTGCTATTTTTCTCATTATCTCTGATATTGAGCACTTTATCCCATAAATATAGCACATCTTAAGACTATATTTCTTCGTATATATATATATATATATATATATATATATATATATATATATATATATATATATAATATATCAATAATGGAAAAAGATTAACAGTGAGTAGACATGAAAAACCCATTTTCCTGAAATATTGTTTTAATAGAAAGATTTTATAAAGTTCAGCCGACAGCAGAGCACTGGCTGCTCGTACAACAGATGCCGAATGTTTCCTTGTAAGGAAACGGCTGATATTACGATTACTGATGACTAGAAATCAGACCGGAAACGGATTAAGTCAATGCTGAACAAGTAATCTTATATTAATGGTCAGAATGTTGACCGAACGCTTTGTATGTTTGTTTAACGGCACATCAACTCTTAATGGGTCATGTCATGTCGAAAGTTAATTTTTTTGTGGGGGGGGAGCTTTGAAGTAATAAAAATATATATTATTCTGCTTTCACAGTTGAATACATGGTAGATGATGCTCAGCTTTTGTGCATATACATGTTTGTGTGAACAATTACCTGAAACAGTGATATGTTTTATGCTGTAGTTTTGTGGAAGTTATACTTGAGAATACAGCTTGATTTATTTAAATTGTAGGTCATTATATGGATTAATGTCGTGTAAGAGTCATTTCATGTTCATTGATTAGAGTTTATATATTAACAGAAACAGTGATACAAACATATACAAACGAGAGTGTTACAGCAAGAATGTTCGGTCCGACTGTCAGAGCTAACTGCTGGAAACTTCTCTCTCTAAAAAGGCAGTACCTGCTCCTATTTATAGCTGCGAGAGTCCATGCGTAAATTACCATAACAACTAAATATATTTTAAACGTGACTGTATGCCGTCAAGTACAGATTAAATGTTTTGTTAGTCATTCTGTAAAATTGTATTTTTTATGCTTATATAGTGTTTTGTTTTTGTTTTCATTATTTGCCTATAGATGGGACCCGAACGGGTGCTACCACTTCGGCTCAGGGTAGACCTGGGAACAACAGCAATTAAGAGGTTGTTCCACGCTCCTCAAAAACTCCAGTCTCCCGATCAGAGGCCCTGCTGCCGGATGCAGTTTATCGTCATACCCAGGACATTGAACGAACTAGCAATATAAATCTAGGAAGATCAAGCATAAAACAGACTGTCATCACTCGGGTTAGATCTCAGTATCTATTCTAATATTTATATTCACACACGCACATAAACACACATTCACATACATATATATATATATATATATATATATATATATATATATATATATATATACTTTATATATATATATATATATATATATATATATATTAATATTAGTGGTCAATTTTTTTCTCTCTGTCATCTGGATTTTAAGTTTAGATCATATCGTTTTTTATTGTGCATAGTGTCACCACAAATGTATACACACGTTTCCGGTGTCTGTTTTTTTAATATTAATTTAGGTCAGCGAATTATGCATCGAAAAATAATTTCATATTTATTTGTATCTCACTCATTTAAACCGTTATTTATCTCCTCACTTTAAAACTTCTCTCTGTTAAATTTTAACCCCCACCTTCACCTTTAGGACTTCCTGTTCTTCTTTCTTCTGTTACACCCTCTCTCTAATCTTTCATACATTTCCCTCTCACACTTGTTTCCCACTCCCGCACAGACGCTCTCACAAAAATTTTGCTTATTATACCCGGAGTTATATTTTCCGATTTCTTTTTAAATTTGTAGATCTGATGAATTGATCGTGATTACGATTCCAATGTAATAAATTATAACCATGGAATATTAGAGTTTGAGCCTTTTTTATTATATATATATATATATATATATATATATATATATATATATATATATATAGAGAGAGAGAGAGAGAGAGAGAGAGAAAATTCATTTATTTTAATCAGATATCTTTTTTTTTGCTTCAAATGTTATTATAGTGCATATTTGAGTTTAATGTTTGCCATATTTATACAATATTAGCGATAGATGTCTAGTTGGTTGATTTTTTTAGCGGCATATCGATATCTCTATGGGTTATTTAAATCTACATATTTTGAAAACAATTTTATGGCTTCAACGAAGAATATTTTGACCGCAATTGCATGCCTTCAACTACAGATAAAATGTATTGTTGGCCATTTTACTATAAATATGTATTTTATACTTTCATAGTGTTTTGTTTTTGTTTGGGGCTTCACTGTTTACCCATAGCTGGGACCCTAACAGGTGCTACCACCGCTAGTCGGGGTGGACCTGGAAACAACAACAATTAAAAGATGGTTCTATGCTCATCAAAATCTCCATAGAGCGTTTGTAGATACAAACAGTGTGGACATAAGAATCAACACTGCATGGTGACCGTCATTTTCACAGTAATACCTATCATCAGAGTTATTCTGTGTGTGAATTCCATGTATAGGTCTATTGGATTTTGGAGAAGGAACTAACATTCTGTGTTTTTTAATGCTAATGTTTTAGGTTATTTAAAGCCCTGACGTTAAATTTGTTTATTTTAATTTTTTATTTATTGTTTCTTTTTTTTTTAATTTTATTTTATTTTATTTGTTTGTTTTTCTTTATCCTTTTCTTCGGTTCTAAATTTTTGTATTTGGAATAACGTTTATTGCTGCTACGTCATTTTAAGTCATGACATGCTTGTAGGTAGCGTAGTAGCGATTTGATTTCGCGTCAGCATTTGAACAGTTTAGTGTCTACAGAAAATGAATTATAGAGAAACGAAGAGGAATCCGCGATATGTGTTCGAACCCCGACCAAGTCTGTTGCGTTCTCTTCGCACTAATGTCACTAGGGAAAAGCACGAATCCATCTTTTCGCAATTCTTTCCCTGGGTAGACTGTGCATGTTTGCCATGGCTAGCAGCCAGTCTAGAAGAAGGATGACTCAAATTTTGAAAGTTTGGAGAAATCAACAAGAAACGACCTCACTATTGTTCCCGAAACACAAGTAGCTAGTAACACATATTTATGAACGGGAAGCCGTGGAGGGTCACGATCATATAGGATATATGATAAGAGGTGTAGGCTACTGTACTTTAAGCGAGCTTTCGAACAAATAAGCTTTGATTAATCCTCTTATTTTATTTGTTTACCTAAAAAAATGAATAGCTAAAGTGTCGAAAATGTAGCAAGCACTCAAAAAAAAAAAAAAACAAACAAAAAAAAACAAAACAAAAACTAAAAAAAACAAAAAACAAACAAACAAAAAACAAACAATCGTACAGACCACAATTACCTTTTGTATAACATGACAGCTAGCAAAGTCACCGTGATTCAAACAACGTCAAAACACAAAGTAACGCTGTCGTCCGCCATTTTCTGACCAATCGTCTGCCTAAATATACGACTTCCATGGCTCGCATTGTCTTGACTCGATATGTCAAAACGAGGCTGACTTTCATCAATTTACTTTTTCTTCTTCTTTGGTACTACTATTAATTGTTCTCCTTTTTGTTCACTTCCTTCGTTTCAGTTAATCTTCAAAGTTATTTTCTGTTTTCTTCATCGTCTGTTTCATCATCGTTTTTCTCCCCCTTCACTGCCTTTACACTTACATTTACAGTTCTTCTTCTTCTTCTTCTTCTTCTTCTTCTTCTTCTTCTTCTTCTTCTTCTTCTTTCCAGTTTACCTTGAAAGTTCTTTTTCTTTACAGTTCCTCCTGAAAGCACTTCCTTTTTTCTTCTTCTTTTCTTCTCTACAGTTCTTATTGAAATTTCTTCTTTACAGTTCCTCTTTAGAGTTCTATTTCTTTATTGTTCCTCTGAAAAGTCCTTCTTTTTCGTCTTCTATTGAAAGTTCCTATTTTTCTCTGCAGTTCCTTCCGAAAGTTCTGTTTATCTTGAAAGTTCTTCTTCTTCTTCTTCTTCTTCTTCTTCTTCTTCTTCTTCTTCTTCCCCTCCTATTCGTGTTCTACCTCTTCGTCTCCTCGTCTCCTTCTCCTCTTCTTCTATTCCTCCTCCTACTCCACTATTTCTCTTTCTTCTTCTCCTTTTTCTCCTCCATTTCTTCTTCTGTATTTCTTCTTCTTTACTTCTTCTCTATTTCTAATTCTTCCTCCTCATCATCGTCTTCTACCTCCTCGCCTTCTTCTTCTTCTTCTTGTTTTTTCTTTTTCTTCTCCATCTTCTCTACAGTTCCTCTTGAAATTTTTTTCTTCTTCTTCGTTGTTTTCTACTCCCTGAACTAAACCTTGATTTCCATCATCTTTTTTTTCTCGTTCATTGACTCTTTCTCCTCTGTTTCGATATTTTCCTCCTTCACTTCACTTTTCTTCTTTCCTCTTCCTTTACAGTTTTTCTTTACTTTTTCGTTCACTTTTTTCTTTTTTCTTTTCTTTATCACATTCCTTCCTTTTTTCCTTTTATTTTATTTTATTTTAGTTTCTTTTTTCTGGCTACTTTCTTATCCTTAACCCGTGCCTGTCGTCTTTCTACTACGCAACAATGGCACCGGCCTGTATCCATCTTCGCTTTGATTTTAGAGATAGTCACTGCTTTCGAGTAGGCAAGTAAGGGTGAGGTTACTGACGGAAGCATCAATAACAATTCTTTCCCCATCCGCCTCCCTTTTTTTTTTATCGGCACAAACAATTCATGAGTAATCCAAAACAATGCTTCGGACTGTAACGAAGAAAAAAAATCTCAGATTAAATTTAAAACGTAAAAAAAAGAAACTGAACCGTCCAGAAAACACCAACAAGTGGTTTTTAGTCGAATGTCTATCTATGAAACAATAAAAAAAAAGAAGGGTCCCCCAAAATAAAATAGACAAATGTGCCGGATAACAGCCAAACTATTATTATCGATAAAAAGACCGTACAAATGTTAATAGCGTTTGGGCATGCGCGATCCTGTCATAACCCTACCGCCTGTCTCTGAATTGATCAATAAATCTACTGATGGCGAAATATAGACACACGTCTTTCGCAAGAGACAGACAGGCTGGACTAAAGATAAGCGACTAAAAAGTAGGCGAATTAGTAGACAAAAGAAATGCCGCTTAGTATTCAAAGAAGCATCTTAATGGTGGGCGTGCAGCCATTAGTATCTTCCAACTCAATAAAATGCCTATTGTATTAAGAATTTACAGAGTTTAGTTTTTTCAATGCTAAAGTTCATCCAGAACGATGGGCTCGAGAGTCACTCAAGAGCGAAAGAGAGTTACTGACAAACACGTTTCATTGAATGTGACGGAGAAAATCTTTTAATTTTTTAAAAAATTAATGTTGTGGCTTGTTAGAGGTCAGAAAGAAAGACACGGAAAGAAGAAAGTAGGTTGGACAAGTGTAGGGTCCTCCATTAGGTCACGTAAAAAAGCAGCATACCATGATGAAAAAAGGCTCATAAATCAACAAAAACAAAGTTTTGTCTCAATATGTTATTAACTGAAAGCTAAAGCATTAAATTTATTACATATTCTGGTGGCTTTCAGATAGAAATTATATAGATTGGAATGTCAAGTCAAATATATGCTCGATTTTTGTTTAATTTTCTTAAAAGCGGCCATTTTCTTAAATTTTAAGAAATTTGTAAACAAACAAAATTTTGATTTTAAACTTCTTCCTAAAATAAATTTATATATTTTTGACACGTTATTTGAGTAAAATTAGAAAATTGAAAGTTAAGTTAATCTGATATGAAACAAACAGTACTGACTTATATAACATAAAAATTTGTATCCAAACATTTCTTAACGATGTGTCTGAATTTATCAAAGAAATCGATTGTGACGAGGTGATGACAGATTACTATGGATGATCAAAATTAATAATTTTTGCAAAGTAAGCGAACGCGGTTTTTCGTTTTTAACTAGTACTTTTAAAATATTAACATTTTTATTCATCAGTTATGTAATATCTATTTTTTATTTCATACTTTCTTAATTAGATAATAGTTTAAAGTTTTTTATTAATAAGATAATTGTTTAAAATTTATTAAGGATTATGTCATGTATACATTTCCATACGTAGAAATTATGAACGTTTTTTTCAATAAATTTTTTAAAAAAATATTCGAGGTCAAACGACTGTTATGTGCTTTTCAAATTTCGATTCGTAAATTTACTTTTTCATTAACGTTATCATTGCATTACGTGCTTAAAAGCAATAAAGAATTTTAAACGATTTTGAAGTTAATGAAAAAATTTTAAAAATGGGAAAAAAAATTTAAAAATGGGAAAAAAAATTGTAAAAAATACATTATTCATTGAAAATTTTTTATTTCTTCACAAAATAATGTCCTTATAACGTATTTACAAAAACAGGTGAAAGCTTTTCTAATTAATTAATGTCATACTTTTTTACATTTTTTTTTATAATTCAAAGCAGATTTTTTATGAAAGGAGGAACTGTTTTACAAAAAAAAAAAAAAAAAAAAAACTGGTGATTTACTTTCTACAAAGAGTCCTGTTTATAACTAATAAAACAAATCCCCCGCGTAAAGATTTAATTTCTAGAAATTTCATGAAAATATGTAAGTGGGTTGAAACATGTTAAAAAAAAATCTCTTTTTAACAAGATTTTCTAAAAAAAAAAAATTTCAAAAATAATTTCATTAATTTCTGAATAAGTCCTGAAAGTTTCATTAAAATCCGACAATTATTTGATTTTTGCAAGAATTTCCTAATTAACGTGTGTTTTCCTTGGGAAAAGCGCAAAATAAAACAAACCTTTTTTTTATCTTATCGCGCTGTCGTAAAAAAAAAAAAAAATTTAACCAAAATTTTCTACGTGTTAGAAAGGAGTAAAAAATTTCAAAAAATAATCAAAAAATACTTTGGTATTTCCTCTTCATAACAACATAAACATATTGAGACAAACCCCCCACCAAAAAAAACCTTGTTTTCGTTGATTTACGGACCTTTTTTCATCGTGATATGCTGCTTTTTTTAGGTGACCTAATGGAGGATCCTAAACAAGTGTATTGAAATAACAGAACATATATACAAAATAAGAGTGTTATTAGTCAGCAGATAGAAGTGTCCGTCCAAACTGTCAGGTTACACTGCGTCTCGACTGCCTATATTTAACGGCCCCACGCAGGATGTATGTAGCACAAGTCTGAGTTTACCGTGGGTTCTCCGAGCCCGTAATCTCGGTCTAAAATATCCCCACAGAACCGGCATTAGCGGGTTTGGGTCTGTCTATCTCCCTGGACGAAACTTTGCCCTTCGGCATAGCTTCGTCCGGGTTTCTATCTGCCAAAGCAGAGATTTCGACAGAAGTCGCAAACAGTCAGAAGACTGTGTCCCAACTGCCGATATTTAACAGTCCCCCCCACGAGGAATGTATGTGGCACAAGGCCGAGTTTAACGTGTGTTTCTCAGAGCCCGTAGGCTCGGCAAAAAATATTCCTTTATAACCCGCATAAGTGGGTTCGGGATCTGTCTACCTCCCCGGGCGAAACTTTGCCCTTCGGCAAAGCCTCGTCCGGGTTCCTCTCTGCCAAAGCGGAGAGTTCGACAAAAGTCGCACACAGTCAGAGACTGCGGGTCGACTGCCAATATTTAACAGTCCACCCACGAGGAATGTATGTGGCACAGGGCTGAGCTTAATGTGGGTTTCTCCGAGCCCGTAGGCTCGGCCAAAAATATTCCCTTAGAAGAGATCTGTCTACCTCCTCGGACCAAACTTTGCCCTTCAGTCACAGACGGCGTGTCGAATGCCTTCTTAGGAAGTCTCGCAGGTTAATATTTATGAAGGAGGACGGGTTTATTTTAATGTATATAGGTCACCATAAGAATTAAGTTTTACCTTACAGTTTTTTTTTTATGAATGCGTTGTCTTATGTACTTTCAGATAATTCTTTAACCATTTTCAAGAGGTTCTTTTGCATTATGTTTTTGTGTTTGAATTCTATCCTGCGTTGTATAGGAATAGTGTTAATTCCATATTGAAAACGGTTAAAGAATTAGCCGAAAACACTTGAGACAACAGTCACTACAGTCAGTTTTTACACACTCTTGGTCCTCATAAAGAAGAACTGTAAGGCCACGAGAAAAACTGAAAAAAAACTTAGAAAAGTACACTTGTCAGTCGCACAGTCAATGATATATATACATACATATATATATATATATATGTATATATATTTATGTCAGTAATAAGCGCTACAGACACTGAAGCAGAAACACGTACCTAAATATTTACACTTTAGCGAGGCATATACAAAAACCGGTATTTATTCGAGTGCGTAATTCTATAATTTATCTTGTCTATACAATTATGCAACCACGTCTATAAATGCATCATTATTTATCCTCGTATATACGCACGCATTACTGTTTGAATAGAAATAAATATGCTACCGCCATTTTGTTTTTGGATGATGTTCCGTCAACTATTTGGCAAAATTGCATGCCGGGATTATTTTTTTTCTTTCTTTTTCTTGAGTTTTAATGTTCCTGCTAATTTCTAATTTGTGGACGAGGCTGGCTTCGTTTGCTTGAAAAAGACAAAAACGTATAATGAACGAGGAGACAGTGTGTCGGCTGCAAAATTTCCACTGAGAACTGGTCGACATAACCTTGCAACACGGTTTTCGAATTCGAGCATTTCTCCTTAGGATAAAAAAAAGAAGAAAAATTCGCTTTTAGCGCATCCTTATTTTAACGCATTGTTTGAACCAGTATCTCCATCTCAGGTTATTATTAGCCTTATGCAGTCGACAGGTTCTCTGACCTTCCCCGGGTTTAATGATTGCGCGAAATAGTCATCTTAATTGGAACTGTTCAGATTTGGGCCTCAAGGTCTCGTGGCCGCAGAAGAAAGAACTTATAGCGTTTCTGTTCTTCACACCGAAGAATGCATCAGGCGTAAAACGTACGACTAGAAATAAAGATTGTATTGACTCAGTTGTGACTCGATGGGTTTGTGAAGAACGTGGCTTGTCACGGACTGAATTACAAATTCACTTCAGGAGTCATATAGAGGAGCATAAGAAATATAAATGCTATCGTAATCAGAAGGACTTGATTTGTCCCCTATGTATTAGGCTATATAAGAACAAGACTACACTCACTGGATATGATGGAATGCATAATATCAATTATGAAAACATGGAGCAAACAAATATCCAAAATAAATTTGTTAGCAGTAGGACAGAGGTGTTAAGAGACTTTCATTACGTAGGCCGGCAGCAGCAGGTCATAGTTAAGATGCAGTATAATCGCGTATATAGACACCATATATATCAAACTTTGCTTATATATATATATATATATATATATATATATATATATATATATACCTACGGATCTTACCATAGTATAAGAATATCAGAAAGTTTAAGTTTAAGTGCATATGAGGCTGGATAAGAAAAAAGTAATTTATCCCCTTCCACCGATGCATTTACAATACACTTCCTTTCTTCTTCTTCTTAAAAACCATCCTCTTCCACCACCTCCTCCTCCTTCTTCTCCTCTTCCTCCTTTCTTCTCTACCACCTCCTCCATCTCTTCCTACTCCTTCTTCTTCTTCGCCTCCTCCTCCTTCTTTACCTCCTCCTCTACCTCCTCCCCTTCTTCTTCTTTTTCTTCACCTCCTCCTTCTTCTTTTCTTCTTCTTCTAGACCTCCTCCTCTACCTTCCCCTTCTTCTTATTATTTTTCTTCTTCTTCTTCACCTCCTCCTCTACCTTCTTTCCCCTTCTTCTTCTTCACCTCCTCCTCTACCTTCCTTCACCTTCTTCTTCTTCTTCTTCACATCCCCCTTCTCTCTTTTACACCCAACGTCGTGCGTTTGTTTATTCATTTTTTAAAACAATAATGTAGAGTTATTTAGTTTAAAAAATGAAAAAAAAAAAAAAAAACAGCGTTAGGTGGTCATTTGAGAAAAAAAAACGCCTGAGGATAACGTGAGGTTGAAACTAAGGTAGCGGATTTAGCTGACCTCCCAATTTTTAAAGTCAAGATCTCTACATGTCATTTTTACTTTTGTATTTTTTACACGTGCATTGAGCACTTTATATATATATATATATATATATATATATATATATATATATATATATACGTTTCACCAGTTTGTGACTGGAAGGATAATTCCGAGGAGGATATGGGCTAAAGTCTAGGAAAAACATTGTCAAATTCCCAATCTAACTGAATTGTAAGGTAAAAGGTAGACTGTGTTTACAATTTACTGTTAACTCAGATCTTTGGTTTAATAGAGTATTCTTATCAAAGAATCTGATAATTTGCAATTTTTCATGTAAACACAGAAAACAGGGTTCAGATAAGGATCTACATATCCTTGCCATTTTAAAAAATTTCCATTTCACCATAGGAGCTTTATTATCATCTTTCAACCTCCAAAAATGTTTTGAAAGTGATGTATTATTTCAATAAGTATCATTGGTAAAAGACAATATATGCTGGTATCACATAGTCTTGAAAACATTCTTAGTACTACCAAGATAGAACTTTTAAACCGTTGGATTTTCCACTGTAGAGATAGAACAAAGATAAACAAGAGATTTTGTTAAACATTTGTTTGACAGTGGGCATTGGACAGGATTCGTACAATTACATTGGCGAGTATCCTTAAGAATATTCTCCTTGGAACTTGCATTAAGATTCAAACAATTAAACTGGTTAAGAGTTTTATTGTTTAACTTTATCATCTTCTCAAGATTATTGGTGCAGCTATAAATTGCTTCTGTTAAATATTTTACGAAAAAGTTTACTTTTAGGAAAATGTTTAACAATCAATTGGAGGAACTTATGGTCTAATTTAGTACTAACTAGTTGATTAAATGGGGCGTGTACCAAATGATCTTCCTATTTCTATTTCTTTATTTTGGACCGCTATCATCATCATCATCATATATATATATATATATATATATATATATATATATATATATATATATATATATATATATATATATATATATATATGTGTGTGTGTGTGTGTGTTTAAGCAGCATGCAAATTTCATTGATCCAATGAGAAATTGTATAAAAAAAAAATAAAGGCACTTTGTCGTATTCAATGAAATATGCACGCACACACACACACACACACAGTGCACGCGCGCACACACACACGCACACACACACACACACATATATATATATATATATATATATATATATATATATATATATATGCACGTATGTATATACCAAAAAGTCCAAAATTACCTCATGTGGATATGGTCTATTTCAGGCCAGCACAACCATATACAAGTCCTCCTCAGCCTTAGACTCGTGTCTTCCCATTCTACCAGTGCGACTACAGAAACACTGAACAAAAGCAGATTAATAAGGAAACATTTTTCACTAACAAGTTCAAACCCATACTTAATTCATTGCATAAACAGATTCTACCAACTTCGTTTTACCATGAACGACATATATAGCCAGTTACGCCCTTTGATTTTCATTTTTTTTTTTCATAGGTACAAAATATAACCATCAACACGTGGAGACAGAAAGAGTTAAATTTTTTTTCAAAAACTAAGCGGAACCGGTTAAGGTGAAAATGTAAAAAAAAAGGAAAACAACAAATTATTTTTCTAAGACAAAAACACTGAAAAACCAATACAGTAACAAAGTTTTAATTCTTCTTTGTAAGAATTAATATATTATAAATAAATATTACTATATTAAATATGAGGTGACTTCTTTTCTAATCTTCATTTTAGTCTCTCTCTCTCTCTCCCCCCCTCTCTCTCTCTCTCTCTATATATATATATATATATATATATATATATATATATATTCATACACGTTTCATTAAATAATATAGACAAGTGTTGTCTGTTTATATTATGTAAATTTTTTCGTAACGTCTGATAAGTTTAATAACATTATCGTTGAACGAAGAAAGAAATTCACAATATTGATCCATATTTTTTTTAATACAATCTAAGCTTTCGGCTTACATAAGCCATTATCAAAGATGTCAATTACAACATATTAAGCAATATATGGACAAGACAGTGATGATAGTCTGTCATTGTTTACATAGATGATTTCTAAGCAACGATAAACACGTGCATATAAGACAACACTTGTCTATATTATTTAATGAAACGTGTATGAATGAAAAGATGCTGCCTAAATACACACAATAATATATATATATATAATTATTTATTTAAATATGATTCAAATAACGTACATGAAAACACGTAAATTTCAAAACACGTTATTCCAAAAAAATTTTTAAATGAAGATGGAACAGAGCCATTACTTTTTTTGGAACTCAATTTAATTTTTTTAATTATATTGAAGTTTTCACAGAGGTCTTCTTTTGAAACATGAGACTTTTATGTCGCGATTTGGTATCATATTTTTAAATAAATAATTATATTTATGGTCTACTTTTGTATCGAGCACTATTTTAAAAAATAATAACTAAAATACTAAGGGACTTTGGATTATTTACCTAACCAGTTCCTTCCTATTTTCTATATATTTTCACACACACACACACACACACACACACACACACACACACACACACATATATATATATATATATATATATATGAGATTACTTAGCTTTTAAATATCGATTTTACCACCCCGACTTCGAAGTTTCCTGGTAAGAATTCCTTTCTTCAAGAGGCTCGGTTTTAAATAATATTTCCAATGTTTTCGATTTGTTCCGCGTCTTTTCCAATCCCTTTTTACGCCGTTTTGTACACGTACGTATTCATAAACTTAACGTTCTTTCACATACAGACGTTCATGAATTTTTGCTTTTGTTTACGTCTTCCTTTTTTCAGCTGTGGATTTTTCTTCCAGGTGTAAATTTTTTTCCTCGAAATTGAATTTTTCTTCGAAATTAAATTAAACTTTTTTTAGAAGTTATATTTTATATTATTAATGAAATTGTAATATTTCCTAATTTGTATTATTAATTAAATTATAATTTTTATATTGTATTTGTATTATCAATTAATATTTTAATTGATTTATTATGCTATATTATTATTAATGTAACAAAGTAAATATTTTTTTCTGTGTACCGTGTCTTTTCAACGTGTTGGGGATCTTGGATCTCAGTGTATTGTAGATGTTAGTGTATTTGTGTACTAGTAAAATCTGTAGCCCTCGCGAGCATAAACGCGCCTTAAACTTAATGCCTTGTCACACAGACTACCCTCTCACCCCCTCCACCATTACGAAGAGGAAAAAACTTTAAAAGTTAACTATTATTCTCATAGTATCACGCTATGGCGTGAGTTCTCTCATCCCCTTTCGGCGTGCATGCAAGACAAGCCAGCATTCGTTTTTAACATCCCAAAGGGTTTGGTTTGGTTTCTTTTCAATATATACCATTGGTGTGTTTGTGGTCGGACCATTGTATTTTTCGTGAGGAAATGGATAATGAAATACGAACTAAATAAACGAAAACTAAATAAATACATGTATATACGCGCGCGAATCTTTTATTGAAGAGATAGTTAAGACAAATGACTCAATCAATAAAAGCAATTGGTACGCTCGTGAGAGTGCGAGATCTGAAACATGGCGTCTTTGTTAGAAAAATGATAAGCAGAGAGTGTGCGTGATTGCGCATGCGTGCGTACACGGCGACCTTTCCCGGCGGGTGAAATGAGAAGTTCGATTGTTGTACGCAGATCTGATGGAAGACTTGTGGTGTTTATTGTTCTTCCTTCAATTTATTTATTTATTTATTTTTTTTTAGACATCAGTTAATTGGAGTAATGTCTTTAAGGACATTAGAATTAATTTTACTCTTTTGTTTCATTTTCTTTATTTCTACTCTGTTTTCTTCTTTTTTTTTTTAAGCGTGCAGACGCAAACGAAGATAAAGGGAGAGAAACCCCCCGACAGAAATAAGAATTTGAGTTTGAATCATTTGGTTGTGCAGTCCACTCCTATAGACCCCCCATATATATATATATATATATATATATATATATATATATATATATATATATATGTATATATATATATATGACATAAATATATATATATATATATAATAATTTTTTAAATATGATTCCTTCGCTACATAAGAGTTCTCCATCCAGAAAACGAGAGCCGAAACCATTCCTAAATTTTCGCTTGAGGATGAAACGGGACCCGACACCTTGATTCAACTTAATTTTAATAATTATTTGGATGGTTTTTGGCTCTCGTTTTTGGAAACATGAGAACATTATATATATAATCATATTTAAAAATAAAAATATTATATATAATATAATTCTTGTATTATAGCAATATTCTTCTTAAAAATAAAAAAAAAATACTAAGGAACTCCGGATTATTTACCTGACGTTTCCTTCCTATTTTCTGCATACTTGATGTCTCGCCACACATACACATTGTAGTTTTTGTGTATAATTCATGTATTTATATATATATATATATATATATATATATTTATATATATATATATATATACACACATTGCGACATTTGTATACATTATATATAGGCGACAGCATAAAACAGAGCACAGACAAAATAAACATGTATACACGTAAACATAATGTGTAACATACATAAATACACAGAAACTCAATAATAGCTGGCCACTCATATTCGAGGATATCTGTCTATTAGACGCTCGCTCAGGCACATTTGTGTTTGTTCAACACCCACAGAGAATCTGAACAAGGCCAGCACATTCAAACCCTCGGTCACAATGACTTGTGACTTCGTGCTAGCACAGCCATCGACGACTGCCAAGTGTTCTGTCTACCCAACTTCACTCACAAGGCTTGCGTCAATCCGTGGTATGGTTTTTAGG